AATCAATCGAGAGAACACATTTAAATAGCAACTCATTTCTTATAAACGACATTAATAACAATAATAATTATTTTAAGAGCAAGGGAGTAGTTGTTAAAGATACAAACGAAATTTTTGAGTGGATCACTTCTTTAAAAATTCCTCACTCTTTAGAAGGTGTTAAACTTAATAAAGATTGTTTTATTCCATCTTGTATAAGTGAAGTAAACAACCCTGAAGATTTAGAGTTATTTGTGACTAATAGACCTTGTTTAATTGATGCTTTAAAAACAGTAGATGAAGAAAGTAGCGAAGAATTTAAAGATGATGAAGATGTTATGAAAGGTTTTGATGAAGTTAATAAAGAAGAAAATGAAATAAATGATGCTTTAGAACAAAAGAGGTTATAAAAGAGAGAAAAAAGATGGTCAAGGAATTTAACAGACAAAGAAGAATAAACAGAGTTGAAAGGGAAAAATCAATGAAAAAGAAATAAATTTAATTTTAAATATACTTTTTATACTTAAAAATGGTACAAAATGCTTTACCAGACTTCAAACCTGCTCTTAATGCTTCATCTGTATTTTTATAACAATTTTCTATTAATTCAATTTCTCTATCAGATTTATCAATTTCAATCTGACCGTCCTTTAAAACAGTTTCTCTTTCTAAACAAATAAGAAATTCTCTTTCTTCTCTGTTAATTTTATTAAATTCTTCAAATTCTTCCAATATCTCTTTATGGTAATTTTCTAAATCTGTTGATACAAATATTTCACCACCATCAATTAAAAGATATTCTAAAACTGCGAACAAACGCTTATTAATAAGTCTTCCTTTCTTAATAGACATTTGTACACGAGGATCAGGATAAAGTATAAAAAATCTTTCAACTGTATTTGGTTTAAGAATGTTAGGTAAAAACAATAAAGCATTATACCTCATAACAGCACAATTATCAGTATTATTAGCTATAATACTATCTGAGACAAAATTATAAACAGTATTTCTTAACTCAAACCCTAAAACGTTTTTCTCTGGAAATAATTCTGATGTTCTAAAAAGAAACTTTCCATAACCACATCCTAACTCAATATAAGTTGGAGCCTTCCCATCTTTAAAATAATTTGACCAGTTAACACAATAAGGATTGTTAGGTAAATCTTCATAATACATTTTAAAAGCATTTCCATATGTTTTAGATCTATAATTTCTCTTAGATATTGTTTTAATACTTTTTCTTTCTCTTTCACTCATCTTAAAAATATTTTAATAAAATTTTTATTTACCGACTTAAATCACTAAAATTTCTTGTAACATTTGCAAGCTCATCAAACTTTTCAGGATAATCATTTCTTACTAAATTAACACAAGCAAAATCTAAATTGGTATTTTCTGTGCCACAACCAACTAGCTGTTCAATACAAGAATTATACTTATCTTTTAAATGGGATGTAAATGTAAATGAATATAAAACATAAATGCCACCATCAACACAAAATATAAATATTTCTTTAGAAATCTTATAAACCTTGTAGATCTCATTAGGCAAAATAATTAAAATTGTTTTAGTAATAAAAAGTTTTCTATTCTTAAATCTGATAATTTCTTCAAAATCATTATAAGTAGAACCAGAATCGAAACCAAAAAATCTATAATTATTTTCTAACATTACGTCATAATCATCTTCATTAACGTTAAACATTTCTGAAAATTTAACTTCTTCAAATAAAACCTTTGGACACTCACCCCTCTCATCTATATAATCTTTGTATTGTTCAAATACACTTTCATTTAACTTTAATTGACAATTCATCAATTTATGTAGCATAAAATCATAATGAAAAATAGTTTTAGTTTCTGATTTTTTTAGAAAGTCTAAAATTATTATTGCATTAATTTTATCCTCCCTAATACAAAGAATATTAGCATACATTGAAGTGTTATAAATATATTTAGCATAATGATCAACTCTATTAATGACTGTATAGTCTTCCTGTATATCAATAATATCTGAATAATTAGGATAAGTTATTGCTAAATACCTTCTTGATTGTGCTAAAGACATTACATCAATTTTACTTTCTATTATCTTTAATTCTTCGATATCAAAAGTAATTCCAATTATTACAATTGAAGACATTCCTGTTTTAGGATTCTTTATTGCGATTGCTATAGTTTTATAGTTAATGATTAAAAACATTGTAAATATTCCATCATATTCCTTATAAGTATAATTATTTAAAATTAAAAAAGTTTTACCTAAAAAATTATCAATTACATAATAAAAACATTTAGAATAAGAACAATATAAGTATGTTGGATTACCTGGATTTACTAAAAACGGTAATAAATTCTTAAAGTCAATCTTAAAATTTTCAAGTGCTTCATATTTTCTAATTACTTCATCAATTGTTATTTTATAAACACTGTTATTTGTTACTCCATAATAGTGTTTGTTTGATTCAAAAGTAAATGAAAAGTCATCTTCACACTTAAATACCTGTTTAGTTATTAAATCTACATAAAAACTGTCTCTAAATCCATTGGCTATTAAAAAATTTCCAAATATCGAGTAATTCTGAATATAACAGGGTGTTTTGTTAACCCTCACTAACTTTTCATTATCTTCAAATCTATATACAACATTCTGAACTATTAAAACATTACAACTTTCATTATTAGTGATATAAGTAAATTTTTCTAAAATTGGAAGTTTAAAATTAACAATTTCATAATCAGATTTTTCTATTTGTTTAATATTTAATTCTCCAAGTTTTTCTAATGAAAATGATATATTTTTAATAAATTGTGTATTGTAATTCTCAAGATACTCATAGTAATTATCATCATTTATACTACTTAACGTTTTATTATGGTTTTTTCTTTCGACTATTATTAACTCTCCATCTATATACTCAATTATTAAATAATCAACTAATGTTGAATATTTATATATCAACCTAAATGAGTTACTTTGATATTTAAGTATTCCTACAATAGTAAATGTTTTTACTCCATTAGTCTTAATTTTATAAAGAATGTTTGACTCAAATATTCCTATAGTATCATTAAAGTATAAAATTAACCCTAAATCAGCATGACTGTATATTATGTAAGAATGAGAGTATTGAGTGAGAGTATTAGATGAATATTTATAAATAATTGATGATGAAAAGAATAAGAAATCATTATCCATTATACAAACATTATTAACAATGTCGCATATCTTAATGTAGGTGTTTTTTTAAGCTTATTATGATAAAATAAAGAATAATCTCGATATGTCAAAATCACATACTTTTTTGATTTATGAATAAAATTAATTTTTGTATTAAGATCACCCCTCTTATCTTTTAAAATACTCACTCTTTGTTTAATAATATTACTAGAGTTACTTCTTGTCAATACTGTCTTATATCTATCAGTAGAATTAATAAAATTAACTCTTTTACTAAATGGGGTGATTTTAACAAGTTGACATGAATTATCTTCATAATCAAATAAAAATGATTTTAAATTACTAAAACAAAACACTCTTTTATCAATAAAAGACCCACCAATTATAGAATCTTCTAAATTAATCAATAAATTAAGTCTATTATCACAAAATTGATAAACATTTCCATTTTTACAAAATATTAAAGTGATTCCACGTGTTATGTTTAGAGTATAAGTTATTTTAAAATCAGAAGGACAGTTAAGTATATGATTAGTATCAACTTTCATCTCTAAAAACTCATATTCATTATGTATAATAATTCTTCCATCGTGATTAAATAAATATAAATTATCTTTATTAGAAAATCTATAATACTTGTTTATTTTAGATGAATTATTACTAATACTGATTTTAAATAAATAAACCTCAGTTTGATAACGACTTATAAAGTAAATAGCATTATGTTCAGGTGCTGTTACAATCGATATCATTTTATAAAGTGAAATATCATATCTGTCATAAAATTTCAATTCATCATTCTCAAATCCAATCAATATCATTTCATTCTCACCTACTAAAATTCCTTTAATATGATTGTATTGATTTTTAGATAAATGTTTTGTAGAAACTAAATATGAGTATTCTGAAGGAAACTTATATGGGATTATCTTTATGTTTTCTTGTAAATCTTCAACAGGAAAATATTTATCATTTGTTAAAGGTAACAGTTTTACTGGAAATGAACTATATTTGAAGTCACAGACTTCTAAATCCTTATTCAAAGTCTTTATAAGAGATCCGTATGATACTACAAACTTATCACCAATTGTCTTTAAATCATATATTTTATCTGGCTCTGCTATCTGTTTTAAAATATACGTCATGAATGGGTGTAAAAATAAAATATAAAAAATATATTGATGTATTTTTAACTACACAATAAATGTATTTAAAAATGATTGGTGATGTTTTATTTATTGTTGTTTCATTTTTATTTATTTAATTTGAATACTTTGTTTATATATGGAGAATATTAATGAGAAAGTATTGATAAATACAAAATCTTATGGTAATGTTGTATTGGATGAACCTGTTGGGTTTTGTTCTATTCCAGAAAGATTTAGAGAAAATAGTATTAAACAAGGATTTACATTCAATATGTTGATTGTTGGTAGAAGAGGTCTTGGTTCTAAAACACTAATTAATAGTCTATTTAATGCTTCTATTGTAAGTAATGATAGGAGTGAGGGTGTTAATGTTTTAACAAGTGAGGTAGTTGAAGGTCAAGTTAAATTGAATGTTTCTATAACAACTTTCAATGACCTGGATAACTATAATGAACTTATTGATCATATTAATGGATTAAATCAACATTACTTTGAACAAGAGAATAACGTCTTTAATGAGATCACTGATAAAAGAATTCATTGTTGTTTATTTTTATTCCCAAATGGGAAATTAACTAAAAATGAAGTAAATTGTTTAAGAAGTTTAACCGAATTATGTAATGTTATTCCAGTAATTACTAAGGCAGATAGTTATATGGAAGAGGAACTCAAAGATGTTAAAATGAGAGTTTCTTCTTACCTATCAGGATTAGATTTGTACCATCCAATTGTTAGTATAATAGCCAGTGAGTATAAATTTGAAATAGATGAAGAATATTTAAGAGGTAGGAAGTATGATTGGGGATTCATTTCAATTTATGAGTATGGTGATTTTAGTAAATTACAAAGAATGTGTGTCTATGAGTGTCATGATGAACTTAAAAACCTCACTGTTATTAAATTTTACTCAAAGTATAAAGCTAATTTAAATGAGGATGTCAATCATGACTTAATTTTAGAGAAATTACAATCTCAAATAGAAGAAACAATCACTAAAAGTCATGAAAAAATCAAAGAAGAATTAGAAAGTAAAATTAAGGAGCTAGAAAAATAAAATAATTTGATTTAATTTTAAATTGAACGATTAAAATAAACCAAATTCGATATCACTTCAACATTTCTTGGATCTAAAATCATACCATGGTCGGTATTCTTAAATATAATACACTGTTTAGATTCTCCAACTCTTCTTTGTTTAATTTTTTTATGAATTTTTATACTATTTTCAGGTAATATTATACTATCTTTTTCTCCATGAAATAAATTAACTTTACCTTTATAATTTTCTAGTAACTTGAGAGTATTGAAGTTAAAGTCTTTCGTACATACACGACTTACCTTATTTTTAATACAACTGATGTTAGGAACATAAGTATAAGCAATATCTTTAAAATTACAAAAGGGTGCCAATAGAGTTAAAACAGGAATATTATACTCACATGCTACTATTGAAGCTACTGCTGTTCCAAGACTAAAACCAGTTACATTTGTGATATTAAAATTCATTTCTTTCAATACGTTAATTGACTTCTCTAATATTATCATAAGATTTCTCTTAGTAAATTTTCTCTTCACACCATTTCTACCAGGTGTTTCTATAAACGCACAATTAATCTTATATCTGTCACTAATCCAACCCCATGCCATAAAATCATCATAAATATTCATTCCATTTCCATGAAAAAATATTGAAAGAGGAACGTCTTTAGCTTTATCAATATTAATTTTCTTATCTATCAGTAATAAAATCTTATAGTCATCACCCTCTAAATGTTTTACATTCATATTTAGTAATGATCGGTTATCAACCGTACTTTTTGTTGTAGTACCTTCAATAGGTACCATACCTAAATTATATATCAACCAATGTATAATATCTTCACTATAATATAATATTAATGCTATTATAAATAATAATACAATTAAAAAGACCAAAAATAATATTTTTATTGTTTTCATTGTTTGAATTCTTTTATTTGTTTATTTATGAAGCAATTTTAATTGTCTTCAAAATTGTCACCTGTTAGTGGGAAATCAGAATCATTAAAAGTATCTTTAAAGCACTGTTTTTGCTTTTCATTGCTTTTTAAATCTTCGTATCGAAATAAATTCATTGGATCAAATTGGTAATTTTGTTTGTTTCTCACGTTTTCTACATTTTTAATAAACTCCTTATTATAAAGACAGTTGCCTAATACAAATCTAAATTGACGGAAACATCTCTTATAACTGTCAGTAAAAGCTTCTTTGGCTGCATCTTTAATTGCAATAGTTTTATTTTTAAATTTAACTGAATTTCCAAATCCAATGTCCTCTTTATATGTACCATTTTTTAACGTGATACGACTGATGCAAGAACAACATACTGTGAAAGTCCCATCTTTCTCATCTATAAATTCAATCTTAAATTCTTTTTTCTCTGATGACCATCCATCATAACCAAATATCCTGTTTGCAATATCTATTACAAGGTTGCTTTCTATATATACTAATGTCTTTTTGTTATATCCAGGTCTTTTTGATAGAAACTCAGGTCCTAAACCTTTATTAAGCATTGTCCTTTTAAACGCTTCTTCATCACTCATTAATTATTAATGCAATAAATTTTATTTAAATTTCACGAACATTCCTATTGAAATAACAACAACAATCACTGAAGTAAATATTTGTATTGGAGAAACACTAGGAAGGAATTTAGTTATTAAATGCAAAATTGAAACACTGAAAATTAACCAAAATGCAAATAACATAACATGTACTGGAGTTAATGTAAGAATTGAATTTGAGTCTCCTGATACTTCTCTGATTTTTTTAGCATTTTTTCTACTCTTATTGATCACTTGTCTTATTTCTATTTGTTTTCCCATTTTATAAAAACTCTATTGGGGTTAAATTATTATTTTAATAAATTTATTTTTTAAGAATCTCAGCATTCAATTTCATTGAATCAATTACAACCTTTCTTAACTCTTTAGCTATTTCTTTAGCATCATCAGAAGTTGAACATTCAATAAAACCAATTCCTCTTGATTTGTTTGTTGTTTTATCAAATGCTATATTTGATGAAATATACTTTATACCTTTACAATTATCTGTTACTATTCCCTCAAATCTAGGTCTATCAACTGATATTGGAATATTAGTTACCTTTATTACATGATAAGCATTTTTTAAATCAAATGAAGTTTCTATATATCTTTGATCGACATCAAACTTCTCATTTGATTTGTGAATAATCTCTTTTTCCACTGAATAAAGCTTAAATGATATTGGTTCAATGTTCATTTTAGTATCATTGGTATTAAATGGCACTATATTTCTTCTTAATTTGATATTTTCTTCATTTGGTTTAAAATCAATTGTTCTCATTTTTATTAAAAAAATTTTGTAAAATTTATAATTAAAATGATTTATTTTATAAAAACTAAATA